GGCGACGAAGAGGGAAGAGAAATGGAGGACAGAGTGTCGACGTGAAGAGAGAGAAGAGATGAGATGAGAAAATTAGGGTTGTGAATTGTGACGAAATTGATTAGGTTTTGATATTTAAATAAAATTTTATAATATTATTATTAATACTTAATTAAATATAAAAAATTTGTATATATATATATAAAATATCTGATTTTTGAAATTTAAATCTTAAAATCTGATTTTAGAATTTGAATCTCCAAAAGTAGGGAATGATGTAATTTCCACTTCAATTAAAGTTTTTGAATGCAAATGATTACCACTTCATAGAGAAGTCCACGTTGAAATCTATGGATATTATTCAGTCATTGTTATGCTTAGTTGGCTGGAATTGAACTATTTTTATAAGTTTTCGAGATAAACAATATTAGCTGGGATTTTATTGCTAACGGCCCCCTCAATGGAAATACCATCGTGTGTATCATTTTCGACAGGATAAAGTTGGGCCTAGTTAGCCATTTCCAATAATTGTTTGGAAAACAAACAAAAAGATCCAAAACAACGAATATTATGAAAAGTAACATTGATTATATGTTCTTTTATTTATAAAAATATTTGATCGTGTTTAAAAATAACTTTTTAGTAGTTTTTTAGACTGTATATAACGCAAATGCATACTATTATTTCAAATAAATCATGATTTTGACCAAACACAAAAAGAAGAGATTTGAGAGAGAAATCGCAGCTAGTCCCTTCAATTGTTTCCGTTTTATAGTAATAGAGATATGTCCATTACAGATACTATCTAATTCGAAAGATTGAAATGTTGGTCCCAATTTATTACGAACCGAAGAAACCAAAGATGGCAACAGCGAGTATGAGACATGTCGATCATTCACATCCCGTCTCGTCAGTTATTATTACGGCCCATGTTAGTTAGACAGCTGGGAAGTTAGTTTGCTAGCTGAGATCTTCTTCCCGCCATTTTTCTGCTTTCCCTTTGTGCCTATTTATTGTACAAACCATCTGATTTTCATTTGAGATGAATAATATCTTCCAATTCATTCTTCATTCTCTCAATTGTAATATGGTATCAGAGCTAAAAATTGAGAGGAACTAAACTGCGTGATCTCTTCTGTTCATCATCTCTATTTGCGTCCGTCTTTTCTACAATTTGTGATTTATTTCTGCGTTCATCATCTTCTGTTCATCATCTCTCTTTGCATCCGTCTTTTCTGCGATTTCTTGTTTTTTTTTCCAATTCGAAATGGAGCAAACACTTCCAAAAATGGGATCTGATTCAAGGTCTGATGCAATCAAATCTGTCATTGATGAACCTTCTAGCCCATACTTCCTACACCATTATGACAGTCCTAGATTAGTGCTAGTAACTCAACAATTCACAGAAGAAAAGTGTGGCTTCTGGAGTCGCGCTATGACCATTGCGTTGTCAGTCAAGAATAAACTTGCTTTTGTTGATGGATATATGAAGATACCAGAGAGTGATGAAGCAGATCTGGTTAACTCATGGATTAGAAATAACAATATGGTGATATCCTAGATCCTCAATTCCATTTCAAAGGATATATCTGCCAACGTGATTTATGCTTCCTCATACATGAAATCTGGAATGATCTCAAGGAAAGATTTCAACAAAACAATGGCCCTCGAATTTTTCAATTGAAGAAGGAACTGATGAATTTGATGCAATATCGAAACACAGAGAGTGTGTTCTTCACCAAACTCAAAACTATATGGGAGGAATTAAGTAATTTCCGCCCAAATTGAAGTTGTGGAAAGTGTATTTGCGGTAGTGTTCAAGAACTGAATAAACACTACCAAATGGAGTACATCATGGCGTTTCTCATGGGGTTGCATGATTCTTTCCCAAGTGAGAGGTCAAATTCTTCTGATGGATCAAGTACCATCAATTAAAAAAGTTTTCTCGCTGATTTCACAAGAAGAAAACCAGAGGAAAATACACACATCCTCAATTAGTGTTGATTCAGATGAAAGAGCTGCATTTGCTTTCAGATCTGATAATGGCAGAGGAAATTTTAACTATAACTCTCGCAGTAGATCCGGAAACAGGAAGACAAATAGGCCATACTGTACACACTGCAAGTACCATGGACATTCCATCGACAAATGTTACAAAATCCATGGCTTTCCACCTGGATTCAAGTCTATACCACGAAATAATTTCCAACCCTTTCCTAAAACTAACACTATTAATCAAGTTTATGTTAAATCACAGATGGAAGAGAAGCCTATGGATCAGCAAATAGGTGTTGACAAATTTATGCAAAACCCGAATTCAGACCAGTATCAACACTTAATGGCAATGCTATCTTCTCACCTGGCATCCACATTACTCTAAATTAGTTAATCCAATTTTTGATTCAAAGAACATATGGATTGTGGACTCAGGTGCCTCTAAACACGTATGTTCTATTGCCATTGCATTCACCAATTTGAGGCCTATTACTAAGACAAGTGTTACTTTGCCTGATCACACACGTATACCTGTTAGTCTATGTGGTGATGTAACCTTAGGACCTAAATTGATGCTACATGATGTGTTGTTTGTGACACAATTCAAGTTCGATCTATTGTCAGTGAGTTCATTAACTACTGGATCTTACCTCGGTTTACAATTCCTTTATGATCAGTTCACCATCCAGGAGGTTTCCACCAAGAGGACGATTGGCAGGGGTAGCATCATACAAGGCTTATATGTACTGAACACCAAAGCTTTTAATTATGTTTCTACTGCCTTTGTTAATTCAGTTTCAGCCCGTGTGTGGCATAACAGACTTGGGCATCTCTCTTTTAAAAGATTAGTTGTGTTGAAAGATCACTTGATGTATGATTCTGATATTTCGAATAAACATTTGTCTTGCTATGTTTGCCTCTTGGCAAAACAAAGGAAAATGTATTTTGAGTCACATAATCACATTTGCAGTAAAGTTTTTGATCTAGTGCACTGTGATATATGGGGTCTCTATCACGTGACATCTCACACTGGTTGTAGGTATTTCATGACATTGGTTGATGATCATTCTCGGTTTACATGGATTTATATGTTGAGACAGAAGTCTGATG